GAAGACCCGGGTTCGATTCCTAACATTGGTACAATGTGTGAAGCCCAGTTTTGGTGTCCCCCGCCGTGATATTGATAGAATATTACTAAAAGCGGCCTAAAACTTTATTCACACACATTCAAGATGTTTCGATGTTGCTCCAAGTGTAATTAACAGTCAGTTATGTTGTAAGATTAACCATTGTGGATCTCGTGGACATGAAGTCTTGATTACCTGGGAGAGAAGGTCGGTGGTTAGACAACCAAAGACGTTAATTTATGTTGCTGCTTGGCATTAAGGAGATACATCAAGGACTGGTCGGCTCGGGGTCAATATGCTGTCAGAATACTGAGGCGTGGTATCTCGGTGGAATAGTACTATAAAACCGGCATTAGTCCACGCTAACACACACGCACGCACACACGCACGCACACACGCACAGGCATTCACACACGCACACGCACACGCACACGTCCATGGACGTCACTCTACAGGTATAATAATCCTGAAATCGGTTTTGAATATTGGCGACAAAACCCATAGTCACAAGAAAATATCTGTCAAATACAGAGTCGATTGTACATTTCCGATCGTATCATGAACAGAGATTTGGTTTTACATTTGCCGAACCCAGCAACTAGTATCTCTCTTTATGCGGATTTCTATTGAGCATTTGAATCCAGTACAGAGAGGAATGGACATGTCAAGTAAAAGGTTGATATCACTGATACATGGTTTGGTCGGATTTCTTCCTCAGTTATACTGTCCTTTGGCATAATTCTGCATTATTTGATATGCCACTTATACCAAGTTCTTTGATCCAACAATTAATCAAGTGACGCTACATATAATGGTTATGTTATTTAAGGCTTTGTCAGTGGTAACCACTTTTCATGTTGGGCAACCAGACTTTAGATGACAATCGACTGGGACAGAATTGGTTTATTACAATTCTATTTCTCTTTTTTAGTTTGTTCATTTTAACACTGACAACGTCACACACTGACTTAACCCACATGAAAGACATTCAACTGGTTCCTCTTCCCTGCTGTCCAATTTTGTTTCCACATCATAATGATTTTAGTCATATAAGGTGTGATCCCAACTGACAGGAGGCTGCTCACGATATCTCAGTCCATATTTGAACAACTGACGAAGGTTGTTATAGTCCATATTAGAGAAGTCATCTGTGATTTAATGACCAACAGGTTGGTAGCAGTATGTTGAGTTTATCAGTCACAAGTAGTAGAATTTATATCATGGGTTTCCATGCCTACGTCGTGCAACATATTCCTGTATTTGAGTGAGTGAGTTGGGTTTAACGCTGCTTTTAACAGTATTACAGTTATATCGCGGCGTGTCAGCTTAATGTGGGAGGAAAGCCCGAAGTGATGCAGGTTTCAGACGTTTACCACTTCGGTGAAACCCACGAGCACGGGTATGGTGCTGACAAACCTAGAAACATAATCGGGGCGAACTAGGATTCGAACCCACAATCGTAGGTTTCTGGCGTGCCCAAGGGACGCAACTCTGCACAGCGAATCGCAGCGCCTTAGACGACTGGGCCACCCGTGCCCCCTCCTGTATTTGAAAAACTTAGATGAATAATATGTGACATGAAAAAGCAGTGGTGAGGTGAGGTGAGGTGAGGTGAGGTGAGGTGAGGTGAGGTGAGGTGAGGTGAAATGGGGTTTAACGTCGCGTCCAAGATTATTGCACTTATATAGCGACGTGCGTGTGTGTGTTTGTGTGGCTGCTTGTACTAGTCCGGACTGATGCCGATTTATAGTGCTAACTCACTGAGATACCATGCCACAGTTTAACATGAATACCCCACTCAGACACAGTAAACTGACTCCGAGTCGACCAGTCCTTGCTTTAGCCCCTTAATGCCGAGCGCCAGACAGGGTAAAAACAAGTACCATCTTTTAACGTCTTGTGGTATGACGCGGCCGGGGATCGAACCCGTGACCTTCCGCTCTCCGGGCGGACGCTCTACCACTAGACCACGGAGGCGGTCCGTGAGTGCAAGGACTTTTGTATAAGGTCCTATGATATATTGCTTCTGACACATAGATTGTGGGTTCGAATCCCAGTTCACCTCGATTATGTTTCTAGGTTTGTCAGCACCATACCCGTACTCGTGGGTTTCATCGATGTGGTAAACGTTTGAGACCCGCATCACTTTGGGCTTTCCTCCAAAATTAAGCTGACACGCCGCGATATAACTGGAATACTGTTTAAAGCAGCGTTAAACCCAACTCACTCACTCTTTATGACTGTTAACCGTATCCTGTGTATTTCAATATAATTTGTTAATTGGTTCTGTACGTTAGGTTCCTTAGGCTATGTGTATCAAAAGCAGATACTCTATTTTTAGCAAGATAATTCAATATAGATACTTTTGTTTTACTTATTGTACACGTAAACGGGTACTGTGGACCAGAGTGGCACCCACTTTCTGCAATAATGAAGACACAGAAAGCTTTGAAATGTGTTGGGCAGGATAGTTTATTCAAACAGCCAACTCTAACCAATTTGGACCGACCGAGACTTGTTCCACAACGAGAATGGCGCCACATTCAAAGGGCGGCTATTCGTGACCTGATTGCTTGCATGCCTGCAAGGTGTCCGGAATGCATTGCCATACACCAGGGACACACTAGATGATATATTCAACCTTTATAAAGCATATGTGTTCTGTGACCAATTGGATATTATATAAATGTTGTTTCATGGCAAACATTTTTGCAGGCATCCAAGCAGGCAAGACTTGGTCGTACCCCAACAACGTGGACAATTGCTCATGATACCAATCACTGGATTGTCTGGCCAAGATTAGATTGTTAATAGTTATTGCTTGGTGCGTTGTTAGGCAACAAACAAACACTTACATTTTTTGTGAGTGCCTATTTTGCCTGTGACGCACATTACAACTTTTTCGGCAGGTACTGATTGTTCTCTGGCGTTTTGAATTCTCTTATTTTTTGTTAGTAGAATAAACCTATCATTAGTGAATGCCTGATAAACACAGGGTACCTGGTCACTTGCTCACCTGGTAAGGTCCGATGATCATGTTATTGATGAAGAATCTATGTCCTCGGGTGTATAATGATGGTGATAGAGAACTTCAATCTCTCAAATAGAAGATACAGCGGATTTCAGGTCTAGTTTGTTGACAGAAGTCTGTTGTTCTCTGAGTGTTGAGGGGTAAAAAAAAAAAAGACTGCCCATTGCTTGGGATTTATTGCATTGATCATTGTCGATGCTAAATATCTATCTGGCTTCCATTTGTCCATTGCCATTTCCATTCTATTACCTATCAGTGTTAAGCACACCCCCCCCCCCCCCCCCCCCCACCCCCCACCCCCCCACCCCACCCCGTTTGCCCATTGCCTATTACCAATCAGTGGCAATTTAAGTCCTGACTTCCAGTTGTCCATCGCTATCATCTATCAGCGCTAATTTACAATTAAGTGTTGGCCTCCATTTGTTCTTTGCTAATTACCTATCAGCGTCAATTATCTGTTGGCTTCCCTTTTTAAGGTCCCACCATCGTTATCTTAATACTTTAGTTGTTTGATAAGGTGTATAATTACTTACCGAAAAAAGTTTCGTAATAATGCTCATTGAGGCTTTATTGCAGCAAATGGTAGCTACGCTCTAATTCTTTCTCTTCCTTCAGTTGAATATTTTATCTAAATTGTGAATTGACCAATGAATACAAACCTTCGAATCCTTTGAAACACATATAACATCGCAATATAGTGTCACGTCCCATTTTCAAAACCACCATTCAGGGCGCTGATTAAGCCTATATTGCCCAGGTGACACAGATTGCAGATTAGACTTTGAGTTTACGCTTCATGTGACAGGATCAGTTGCAATGAAATCGGGCGAGGATAGTTGTAACATACACACGGATATACGTGACTCTCTTTAAGTATACATACTGTCAACATTATTCTTCTGATAACGTATAATGCAACTACTCACTTAGATAGACAGGGGTGGTAGAAGTAATTCAAATGCTGCAACACTGAAAATCAGGGAGCCAAAGACATTAAAAGTGCACAGCTACTAAAAGTTTCACCATGTCATGTCAAGGGTAATGAAACATCACATACTCCAATTGTCAAAGCAATGAATGTAGGTGACCAGGCATGATGGATATATATTGCTACACTACTTCATGTACACTTATGCATCATAACGATGGAATAAAAAGAAGATTGCAAGTATGCAAATACAACAAACAAACAAACAAACAGAGTCTACACATTTATTAACACCAGCATTGATACTTGATGCATTGATGCATACAGCATAAACTGATATGGCCATTTTGATCATAACCTATAATTATTTCAGAAAGACCAAATTTTGAAATCCCTTTCAACTGATGATATCAGCAATATACTTTTAACAGATAACAAAGAAAGACAATGCCTCAATTTTAAAGCACCATCAAAAGATTTATAAGTTTGGAAAGGTAGATTAGTCCCAACATAATTCAATATTTTAACAGTCTTTTTTGAAAATTTGTCCCAGGGCATAGAATATCAATCACCTACAATTTGCATTATTCTTCGTAATAGATGGTAACGGAAACGTTACTGAGGTGGAACAGATGTGGAACAAAGGGCGAGGTGAAGCAAATGTATATTGTCATCCCGATAAAGTACTCTGTGTTAGTGGACAGTCAAATACTCGAGCTTCATCAAAAGCATCCCTGTGTACATAGGCCCAGCGTGTAACTCTCCAGTCACATGCAACTAGAGCGGCACTGTTGTATGAAGTGTCATGGTTGGAGTACATTATCAGGATAGAAGTCCATCGGAACAAAATGACGTAAGCCCATTGTATCATGGCCATTTGATGTGCTCTCTCTCTCTCTCTCTCTCACACACACACACACACACACACACACACACACACACACACACACACACACACACACACACACACACATGCACACACACACACACACACACATACAGAGAGAGAGAGAGATAAGAGAGAGAGAGAGAGAGAGAGAGAGAGAGAGAGAGAGAGAGAGAGAGAGAGAGAGAGAGAGAGAGAGAGAGAGAGAGAGATTACTACATGGTACATGTAGTCCCTGATGTATAGCTTTTCACTTTTACATCATATGAATATATGTTTGCTTGTAGTTAAGTGATACGTTAAGATTTAGGTTATCTCAATCTGTACGAGGGTGATGTAAGCTAGGCGAAATGGTTATTTAGAAATCTGCTCAATTTCTATCAGAACGGTACATGCTACAGAGCTTTCTTGGCAGCTTTGGTTAATTTAGCCTTGCCTCCTGTATTCTGTGTCACCTCCTTGATAATCCCAACGGCCACCGTCTGTCGCATGTCGCGGACAGCAAACCTGCCCAGTGGAGCATATTTGGCAAATGGCTCTACGCACATTGGTTTTGATGGTATCAGATTTATGATGCCAGCATCTCCAGACTTCAAGAACTTGGGATTGTCTTCTAACTTCTTGCCATTCCTACGGTCCACTTTCTCTTTAAGTTCCGCGAACTGACATGCGATGTGTGCTGTGTGGCAATCCAGCACTGGGGAGTAGCCAGCAGCGATCTGTCCGGGATGGTTCAGAACAATCACCTGTAAAGAAGTACAGGTACAAGTACAGAGTGGGTGGATTGTTGTGGCGTGGATTGGTTTGTCATGGATTGGTGTTGTTTGTCGTGGATTGGTGTTGTTTGGCGTGGATTTGTGTTGTTTGGTGTGGTTTGTCATGGATTTGTGTTGTTTGGTGTGGTTTGTCATGGATTTGTGTTGTTTGGTGTGGTTTGTCGTGGATTTGTGTGGTTTGGTGTTGTTTGGTGTGGTTTGGCGTGGGTTGGCGTTGTTTGGTGTGGTTTGTCATGGATTTGTGTTGTTTGGTGTGGTTTGTCATGGATTTGTGTGGTTTGGTGTTGTTTGGTGTGGTTTGGCGTTGTTTGGCGTTGTTTGGTGTGGATTGGTGTTGTTTGGGGTGGATTGGTGATGTTTGGTGTGGTTTGGTGTGGATTGGTGTGGTGTGGTGTTGTTTGGTGTGGATTGGTGTTGTTTGGTGTGGTGTGGCGTGGATGTGTTGTTTGGTGCTGTTTGGCGTGGATTGGTGTTGTTTAGTGTGGATTGGTGTTGTTTGGTGTAGTTTGGCGTGGTTTGGCGTGGATTGGTGTTGTTTGGCTTGGATTGGTGTTGTTTGGTGTTGTTTGGTGTTGTTTCGCGTGGATTGGTGTTGTTTGGTGTTGTTTGATGTGGATTGGTGTTGTTTGGTGTGGTTGGGCGTCGATTGGTTTTGTTTGGTGTTGTTTGATGTGGATTGGTGTTGTTTGACGTGGATTGGTGTTGTTTGGTGTTGTTTGGTGTGGATTTGTGTTGTTTGGTGTGGATTTGTGTTGTTTGGTGTGGTTTGGTGTTGTTTGGTGTGGTTTGGTGTGGTTTGGCGTCGATTTGTGTGATTTGGTGTTGTTTGGTGTGGATCTGTGTTGTTTGGTGTGGTTTGGCGTTGATTGGTGTGGTTTGGTGTGGATTGATGTTGTTTGGTGTGGTTTGGTGTGGTGTGTTTATGTGTTCATATATAGATTACGCATACAATCACTGGTTGGGATAATATTTTAGTCTTATAGCGAAAATTAGATTACTGCTTTACCTGAGCAACGAATGATTTTGTTGTGCATGGGGGGTCGTTTTTGCTGTCACCGGTTACGTTTCCTCGACGTATGTCCTTGACGGAGATGTTCTTGACGTTGAAGCCGACATTGTCCCCAGGTAAGGCCTCAGTCAGTGATTCGTGGTGCATCTCTACTGACTTGACCTGAAATATCATCATAGATAGAACGTAGGAATACATCGTAGGATGAAATAACCATACACTTATCAGCATGCGTGTTTCTAAAAAAAGGCAAACTCGAATCATTTATGTAACTTTCAAATTGATTTTTAGTCACAAACCATGAATATGTGAAGACATGTTACCTCTGTTGTGATGTTAGCAGGAGCAAACGTAACGATCATTCCAGGCTTCAGAACTCCTGTTTCTACTCTGCCCACTGGTACAGTTCCAATACCTGACCGAAAAAACAATGTAAATGTCCTCGATTTTAATTTGGAGATGATGATGATGATGATGATGATGATGTTGATGATGATGATGATGATGATGATGATGATGATGATCATGACGACGACGACGATGCTGATAATTTTGATTGACATATACTGTAAGCTGTAATTATTCGAATGAATGACATCAATTTTTAATGCACCAGCAACTTAATCATTGGATCAGTATCATGTATCCTTATTCCCGGGCTTCAGATTTCTTCAACCAATCAGAATGCAGCACACACTCACCTCCAATTTTATATACGTCTTGAAGGGGGAGGCGTAGAGGTTTTTTAACCGGTCTAGTGGGAGGTACGATGCTATCAAGGGCTTCGAAAAGCGTTCTTCCTGAAGCTTTTACTTGTCCGTCATCCGTTTTTTTCACAGTAGACCAACCTGTATACCAAGGCATGTTTTTACTTTCTTCAAGCATATTGTCCCCATGCCAACCAGAGATAGGAACAAATGCCACTGATTTATTGTCAAAGCCAACCTTTTTCAAGTAGGCTTTAACCTCGGTGACAATTTCCTGAAACCTCTTTTCAGAAAAGGGTGGTTCCGTAGTGTCCATCTTATTCACGCCAACAATAATTTGTTTTACCCCCAGCGTGTAGGCAAGCAGAGCATGTTCTCTTGTCTGGCCATTTTTGGATATTCCAGTTTCGAACTCTCCTGTTCCCGATGCCACAATGAGAACAGCACAGTCAGCCTGCAAAGAGAAAGACATAATGGAAAATATGAACACATATACCTTTAGTTAGGTGAAGGACGAGTGATCAGGGTTCCCTGGAATAGTTAATCGAGGTCATTGGAGTAAGGTGACAGACGATTGATTTCAGTAAGGTTAAAGACATGTCATGAGATATCACGGTGACTTGTGTCACATTAAGGACAATATAACAGGTAATTTAACATATACTTCAGGCAGGTGAAAGTTGGAACAGATAATCAAAGTGACATCAGTTAGGACAAGGAGAAGGGAATAGATTACCAATGTGATTTAATTAAGGTTCATTGCTTTAGTACAATGGCATTGATGATATATTGAACAACCTGCTCGGAATCCTACTCATGGATTTCTACCACTCATGATGTCGTTAATAAATTATGTACGTCATTCTCTGTATGCATGATGAATGCGTCTCCTGCGCACCTGGGAAGTTCCAGTGATCATGTTCTTGATGAAGTCTCTGTGTCCTGGGGCGTCAATAATGGTGATTGAGAACTTCAATGTCTCAAACTTCCACAGAGCAATATCGATAGTGATACCCCTTTCTCTCTCGGCTTTCAGTTTGTCCAGAACCCAGGCATACTTGAAGGACCCTTTGCCCATCTGCAGCAGAGTGTAGGATTGTAATGTTGGTGACATGTTTGTTGAGAATAAATGAGATTATATGTTGTAACAGCATCACAAGTGGTCTATGTTTTATGATCCCCGCGTTAGATTTTATACCATCAGATGGGGGACGAGTGGTGTAAAATCTAAGAACGGACACATAAAACCACATATATCACGAGTGATACTGCTTCAAAGAATGCTCTTTGCAGACATGTTTCAATCTGTTTTTGTAAAGAATAAAAACAAAGTTAAATTGACAGAAAACAGATATTTGACTTTCATTGACTATAAAAAAACGTGCAGCTTTTTTCTTCGTAGCAGGGTGGAAGCAAAAGAAATCCACATTCAGTCGGTTTTCTTCTTGTCGGAGTATAAGGGATCCATTCTCTCGCTCAGAAATGTATTTCCTTTCCAGGCAGGATATATGGTATTTGATCGAGATCAAGTGAACCAATGAGATCTCAACATTCTGACAGAAGGTAAGATAAAAAGTTGTGTCAATATGCTTGAGACAGAAATATATAGGGTTCATATATTTTTGTATGACTAGATTTTACCATTTTGAACCAGGAAGCATACGACTGATTGGCCTCATCGCGGCCGGAAAGTAAGCCAACAGAATTAATGCCATACGTGTCCGAGACACTGAAATGTGTTTTGGAAAATCGCAACAAAGAGCAACACGCCAGAGTTAATCACAAATGCTTTTACCTTTGAGTGAGTGAGTGAGTGAGTGAGTGAGTGAGTGAGTGAGTGAGTGAGTTGGGTTTAACGCCGCTTTTAACAGTATTCCAGTTATATCACGGCGTGTCAGTTTAATGTTGGAGGAAAGCCTGAAGTGATGCAGGTCTCAGACGTTTACCACTTCGGTGAAACCCACGAGCACGGGTATGGTGCTGACAAACCTAGAAACATAATCGGGTCGAACAGGGATTCGAACCCACAATCATAGATTTCTGGCGTTCCCAAGGGGCGCAACTATGCACAGCGAATTACGGCGCCTTAGACAACTGGGCCCCCCGTGCCCCCCTCTTACCTTTGAGCTTCGTCAACTGTCAATATGTCTGTCATCCTTACCTCCTGTGCTTCCTTCTCATACTTCTCAATGGTCCTTTTGTCAATCCCTCCACACTTGTAGATGAGATGACCAGTGGTTGTGGACTTCCCCGAGTCCACATGGCCGATCACAACGATACTGATGTGAGTCTTTTCCTTTCCCATTGTCCCTCTTTAATGCAAGAGAGTTCCAAATTGGTTGGATGTTTCCTTAGTTTTATTCTTTTCAAAATAAGTAAGTCATAACGTAGGGTGGCAATTAAATGTGTTGATTGTTTTATTTGTCATTATCGCTGCCTCCTTTTCAAATAATATTTGGTAGTAATTTTTTATCAAGACAATGTATATAATATCATAAAGATTTACCGAACTTACCTCAAAAGGCTTCAGAATTATACTCCCTGTAGGTCTTTGCAACAGGAAAAGCTGTCTAACCTTTAATATAAGTCTTCTTGAGCACTTGCTGTTTTACCACCTTCATATAGCTGGAATATGTGGCGAGTGAGTATGGCGTTAAACACTGAACACGCACACACTTTGCTACTTTATCAGTTGAATATTTCATCACGAATCCGAAATTATATATACAACCAATGAATACAAAATGTCTAATTTTACCTCTTTGCTAACGAATAGAAATAATAATTCATAAATGGATATTAGAAGCAACTATACAGTATTTCAACAACTAGGACATTAACTCAACACCATAATTAACCAAGATATTGATGGAAACTCACCAAATCAATCAAGCCAGCATAAACGCGCAATTTTACCCTGTCAGTACGTCCTGTGAACCACGTGTATATGAAGAACTAAAAGCTGCAGTGACATTCGCAGCCTCTCTGCACAGCTTGTCCTAAATGGGTTTTATAACATATCATCCCTTATCAGTGTATTTATTCTACAGTAATTGTGTAGTCATGCCTTATATTCATGTAGTGTGTCAGGTGTGTGTGGATTGTCATGAGTATAAACCAATTTGGTTTGATTCTTCATAATGCGCTAACGAATTCCTTGGGACTATTACATTCGTAATTCTGAAGCGCACTTGCAATACCATTGAGTTCATCATATTTCTGAAATCATACATTGAAAATGTAGGTTCTTCAGATACCATTTATGCAGTGTGAGTTTTTAGTTATATGTTGTATACAGCACTAGCAATCGTATGGAGACAGGAATGCGGGGATAATTAGAGAGCGTCACTTCATGGAAGGAAATACCCTTTATCCTGGAAGACGCTGAAGTCACGTGAAATGTATTGTTTGATCACGATCACCATTTACAAGTCAGATGCAGATTTTGGAAGCACAATGGCATCACGATTGATTTGCATTTATCATTAGGGTAAAGGATGTAAAATTTTACCTACGTTGTTACATCTCTCCCAGACTGCAAAGACTGCATCTTCAGATTTCATCTTTAGATTTCATTTAATCTTCAGCCCTTCACTGACAAACTCTGCTACAACAAACTACGTATGATAAGTGTCAAGTTAAAACAACCATACATTTTTATATAAGTGGTAGAAAAAAAATGTTTTCTTTTAAAAAGAAGATTCAACTTTCATATTCTCGCATCTTCAGTCCTGATTGTACAGGCAAGTAACATTTCATCATTCACCCGATGAAGGAGTAAGCATATACTACGAAACGTTGTGTTCCTTATAATAAAGAAGTTGACATCCATATGTTCTCTTCCTTATAAGTAAAAGAAGTTGTATAATACACACGGACACACTCGTCTCTTTCTGAATACAAAGTGTCAACATACCCTTCTATTAACATGTAATGAAACTAATAACTTAAAAGAGGCAGGGCTTTGGAGATGATCCAAATGCTGCAGCTTGTTCAGTTGACATTCATGAACAGGTTGAACAGGTGCATCTTATGCCACAAGATCACGTGATTTGGGTAGTTCATGCAAAAACGCATTCACAAATAATATTGTTTAATAGGCATTTCTTGACCGACTTTAACCAACACTACTGCAAGGAGTCTTAACGATTGTGGGTTCGAATCCCGGTTCGCCTCGATTATGTTTCTAGGTTTGTCAGCACCATATCCGTGCTCGTGGTAAACGTCTCAGACCTGCATCACTTCGGGCTTTCCTCCCACATTAAGCTGACACGCCGCGATATAACTGGAATACTGTTAAAAGCGGCGTTAAACCGTACTCACTCACTATATATGAAGGCGACCTGTTAAAAAAAGAGTCAGAATCCGAACTGTCGCCGAACTGTATTCCACTTGCATCACAGCATGTCAGCTTAATGCGGGATGATAGCAAGATGTGATATGCAAGTCTCGGACTTTTACGTCTTTGGAGAAAAACAGCACGAGCATGGGTGTCGTGCTGACTCACTGAGAAACATAATTGGCACGAGCTGGGATTCGAACCCACGATCATAGGTTTCTGGTGTCAGCAAATTACGGCGACTTAGACAACATGGCCACCGTACCCTACGTTTTTCGTTGGTCAGACTGTGGGTACTGATGAATGGCTGTAGAGATTGGATGAGGAATAAACACCCGTCCTACCCTGGAACCCTCACGGCCGGCCTTTAATGTTCAATACAGTACCATTACCCCTCGTCCAGAATATAAAATGGTCCCCAAAGAATTCGGTAACCCTACACTAATCCCTGGATCCATTCCCGTTGTTCTTGCGATCGCAAATGACCCCCACTTTAATCCTATCTATCAATTTCAAAGACAAAAACGAAAATACAGTCGGGCGAAGATTTTATATAGAGAGGCTCCATTTATGGTCTCTGTTGGAGTAGATGTCCTCAAAATTACACGCTTGACCCGTTTGCAGTCATAGTCAGTTGCACACGCTTTGTGGCGAGTCTTGTCTCCCCGAGAGGATATCGTAAGACCATGTCATTCAAAAAATATTTCTGACTACCACTCTTTTAAACGTAGAATATTTGTATTTTTACTTGTGGCTAACTTTGCATACAATCGCCAGTTGCTTAGGGGATGATGTAAATCCTACTGGGATCCACGCAGGTAGCAAAGGTACTGTAAATACCCATGGTCATTAGTATGGTGGTCTACTTTCAGTTGCTGGCGATCTATAGCCTGTTTTTATCTTGTATCGTAGTGTATAGTGCTATTCTCTTTTATAATTCCATACTTGTTTTATATTTTTTCTGTGTGATAAATCTAGTTATTTTGCTGTCCTTCGTTGACAGGTTTTTATATAAGTTTCACTGTATGTATTTTGTTGAACAATGGATAATCACGATATGGCTGAAGTATTGCCGATGTGACTTAAAATTTTAACTCACTCATTGTGGCAAGTCAGCTCAACAGACCAACTTCACAGACTTTTGTACCTTGGGGTACACTCAGTCACAAATTGACGAAATTCAAATTTGCAAAGCAAAAATAGTGTAAAAGAGAAGATAAAAATTGACCGATGAAATCGTCTTCCAAGCAAACAATTCAAGCAAACCAATTAGGTTTAAAAGGGGGTGCTGGTGTTTGACCCGCTGAGCCAGTTACCGATCAGACCGGCGTCTATAGTCTACCTGCTTCCACCTCGCATTACGGTGCTTTTTCTGGCTTCTCATCCGTTTGATTACCGTGTCCATAACTTATGTCAACTTCTGCCCTAATAAGTAACAACATTGAAGATGACCTCAGTTGTCTACTCAGGGGATTAATCCCTGACAGGCATTCATTGATTAGTTCAAAGTCGGCTCAAAGTTTTCTCACAAATGTTCGCCTGAAACCGAATTCAGTCCTACCATACAGATAATCCGGATTAAAAGTTAAAATCACACGCGTTAATCACTTTGTTCTCTTAATCCCCAGTTAAGAACCCAACTGCAACTATTCGCGTTTTGCCGACCTTAATTTCGACCCCAAATGTCTTAATGTACCATTATGTACTTAGTGTCTCGTAGGCCAACTGGCCGGGTGCTGTTTTTAATGAAATGTTTATATGTCCATATATTTTGTACTGCAGCATGTGACACTCTAATAAAACCATTTTCTTCTTCTTTTTCTTTCTTCTCTCTAAAGGTCGGCGTGACGCGAAGACACCGGCTCAAAATCACCCATTTGAGCTCAAATGCAGTCAGTTGTAACACTGGTGTTAATTGGCTTAACAATGGGGGATTATAGTATAGCCTGTTCCATCTCCTGACCATGGCAGACACCAGACATAGTCTGTATAAAAAATAAAACGATTTTGTTTACATATATAGATTTATTTGTACAAAATATATTCTTTACGCCTTTTCCCACAATAGTATAAGTGCAGCCGAGGGTGCGAAATACGAGGGATGTATCGTTTTACATTTCCATATGCGGAAAGCGCACGTTAAATCTCCAATCTAGATGGATAGGTAGAAGTAGATACTGCAAGCAATATAAAACAATCGTCACGCACAACTGCAACCTTGCGCCGGTAGCTTAAGTCCACGCCCTCAAACAGTTTTGTTTTGGAATCCGACTACAGTGCGCATGTTTACAACACTTTCACTTGGATATTTAAATACTTTAAACGAACATTAGCGTGTTTTTCTTCTCGCCAATATACTGAATGGATCAAGAAAAACTGCCACAAGAATATGCAATTTGAAATGGGTAAACAATTAGTGGAAAGTATGAATATAGAAAGTGATTACAGCAAAAATAAAACACAATCAGATATACACTACTTGTTTATTCATTCCGACATCAATATTTGATGCACTGATTAATAAGGGCAATGTTGTATGACCTTTTGATGACACATTGTTTTTGTTTTTTTAAACAATATTTATTTGCACTTGGTACAGTGAAAGGGGATTGATAACAGGCAGAGTCTACATAAATATCCCTCCCCATCAAAGTTCGAACCAGCAGCAGTAGTATATATTGTATAAGTAGTATAAACTTGATATTAAGTCACATGTGGTACATCAAAGATAAACGGTTGTTGGTGAGATATATATCAGAGTGCATGGTTAGACATTTTGTTTGCTCCTTGAGAAGAAATGATATGTCAACGACATTCAGCAGTATTTCTTTGTCTATTTTGACGTAACATAATAATAGCTTTCAGATCTAATCTCAGCATAATTTTGGCAAATAAATAGGTAGTGAGAAGCATTTTCATTGAAAAAAACACATTGTTGCTTTGTTTGTATTATAACAAATTAATCTCAAATGAATCTATCGGAAACTTACTTCTAATAGGCAATAAATGCAGTGTTCTAATACTTTTTTATCAATGAATAGAAAGAAGACATTTGTTCCCAAAATATGTAAATAACTATAGAATAATCTGTTGAAAATTATTGTTTTCCTGAGCTGCCACCAGTTTTAGAATATTCTTCGCCTCCTCAGAACCTGATTCTTCAAATTGTTTAAAAAGAGCCGTCTGAATGGTTTATGGGAATTATAACATATGTGTTAAATGCATGATAGGGTAGCTAAGACAGAGATATATCAGCTTAGTAACACACTACATTGCGAGTCCTTGCTCCTCCTGAACTCTTCACTTTATACTTTAGATGAAGAAATGCTGTACTATTTGCTTATAGTGATGTGATAAGTTAAGATTTTAGCTGAAATCTGCTCAATTTCTATCAGAACGGTACAAGCTACAGAGCTTTCTTGGCAGCTTTGGTCACTTTACCCAGGCCTCCTTTCTTCTGGGTCACCTCCTTGATGACTCCAACGGCCACCGTCTGTCGCATATCGCGGACAGCAAACCTGCCCAGTGGAGCAAATTTGGCAAATGGCTCTACGCACATTGGTTTGGATGGTATCAGATTTATGATGCAAGCGTCTCCAGACTTCAAGAACTTTGGATTTTCTTCTAACTTCTTGCCATTCCTACGGTCCACTTTCTCTTTAAGTTCCGCGAACTTACATGCGATGTGTGCTGTGTGGCAATCCAGTACTGGGGAGTAGCCAGCAGCGATCTGTCCGGGATGGTTCAGAACAATCACCTGTAAAGAAGGATAGTTTGTGTGATAAAATTAAAACGACAAAAGATGGACATGTTGCAGAGTTTAGCTTGCATGATGGGGTGTGTAGTGATCTGCTGTGATGTGGTGTAGTGTGGTATTATATGTGGCGAGGCATGCATTACTATGATGTGGGGAGCGGTCACGCCGAAGATCCGGGTTCGATTCCCGACATGGGTACAATGTGTGAAGCCTATGTTCTAGTGTCCCCCGTCATGATATTGCTGGAATATTGCTAAAACCATACTCACTCACTACTATGATGGAAGAAGGTCTTGGTGTGTCAATAATATTGACTTATTTTCTTTTTAAACATTAAGACAAAATATCTTTGGTTCAGAAAGCAACATTATGGAAGTCCTAAATTACCATTTACCTGAGCATCGAAACACTCTGCTGTGACTGGTGGGTCGTCCTTGCTATTACCAGCTACGTTTCCTCGACGTATATCCTTGACGGAGATGTTCTTGACGTTGAAGCCGACATTGTCCCCAGGTAAGGCCTCAGTCAGTGATTCGTGGTGCATCTCTACTGACTTGACCTGAAATATCACCATGGATTAAACGTAGAAACTCAAATCATATATGAAACCTTAATGAAAGAAATTCGTTTTATACTCAAGAAGAGGCGGCACTGTAGAAGTACCGAAGACGTGTTACCTCTGTTGTGATGTTAGCAGGGGCAAACGTAACGATCATTCCAGGCTTCAGAACTCCTGTTTCTACTCTGCCCACTGGTACAGTTCCAATACCTGACCGAAAAAACAATGTAAATGTCCTCGATTTTAATTTGGAGATAATGATACATATAATCAGAAAGGGTTTGATAGATTTATTTTTCGAAAAAAATCTTTATTTCCGCATAAATTACCACCAAAGACTATAAATAGATCTTAGTTGTGCCCCCCCCCCCCCTTTTCAAAAAAGCTGTATCCGCCTCTGCAATCACTTCCAAAACAATGTCTATTCTAATAAAAATGAAAATAATATAATGAGTATAATATACTCATTGACCTCCCACGTTCTGTGGAATTTTAAAAATATTAGCATAGAACAAAATGCCTTTAGAAAGTATACATATGACGTTTTTGGTACAAAGGTGTTTTAACCATGGCAATAAGAATACAGCACACACTCACCTCCAATCTTATAGACGTCTTGAAGTGGGAGGCGTAGAGGTTTTTGAACCGGTCTTTCGGGAGGTACGATGCTATCAAGGGCTTCGAAAAGCGTTCTTCCTGAAGCTTTTACTTGTTTATTACCAATACTTTTCTCGATGGACCAACCTTTATACCAAGGCATGTTTTCACTTTCTTCAAGCATGTTGTCCCCATGCCAACCAGAGATAGGAACAAATGCCACTGATTTAGGATCAAAGCCAACCTTTTTCAAGTAGGTTTTAACCTCGGTGACAATTTCCTGAAACCTCCTTTCAGAAAAGGGTGGTTCCGTAGTGTCCATCTTATTCACGCCAACAATCATTTGTTTTACCCCCAGCGTGTAGGCAAGCAGAGCATGTTCTCTTGTCTGGCCAGTTTTGGATATTCCACTTTCGAACTCTCCTGTTCCCGATGCCACAATGAGAACAGCACAGTCAGCCTGCAAAGAGAAAGACATAATGGAAAATATGAGGTACCTTTAGTTAGGTGAAAACATCACAGGTAAAACGTAAAAACACCAACTCTCTCTCTCTCTCTCTCTCTCTCTCTCACTCTCTCTCTCTCTCTCTCTCTCCCCTCTCTCTCCGATTTCCCCCCTCCCTCTCTCCCCCCCTCTCTCTCTCCCTCTACTCTCTCGCTCCCCTTCCCCTCTCTCTCCAGGATTATTGCACGTGCTTGCACGCGTGTGTGGCTGCTTGTCCGGACTAATTCCGATTTTTATTGTGCTAGCACACTGAGCTACCATGCCGCATGGTTTTTAACTTGAATACCTCAACCGGACACAGTATATAGACTCTAGTCCTTGTAGCCTTAATGCCGAGCGACAGGCAGGGTAGCAACAAGTACCATCTTTTAACGTCTTGATTGAACCCATGACCTTCCGCACTCCGGAAGGTTACGTTATTAGACCAATCAGATTGCGAGCAATGGTTGACCAACTCTGGTTGTTTTAGTAGTCATCTCATGTATTTCCAGTCATTTTACAAAGACATGGATAATATATTGAACAACATTACATACTCCTTAATAAATGCAACAAATGCACATTACCCGCTGATCTCCCGCTTACCTGTGAAGTTCCAGTGATCATGTTCTTGATGAAGTCTCTGTGTCCTGGAGCGTCAATGACGGTGATATAGTACTTAGTTGTCTCAAACTTCCACAGAGCAATATCGATAGTGATACCCCTTTCTCTCTCGGCTTTCAGTTTGTCCAAAACCCAGGCATACTTGAAGGACCCCTTGCCAATCTGCATCAGAGTATAGCTACAGTTTAGCTTGGTTTATAATGTAGCGAATAATATCGATATACTGGATAGAAATGTTTATTGTATTGGTGGCTGAGTTTATGTCTAGGCTTTATATTATCTAGCATTAGGTACCCGAACACATATGACAGAATGGAGTCACAATGACTGGCAATGGAGACTAGATAAGTTATTTTATAAGATAAATGTTGCATTGATGTTCCTGGGAGTGAATGTGTTTTTAAAGAAATCACGACCAGGAACATTCTATTGGTGAAAAGCTCGCATCTAACTGATACACTGTTTACAAACGTAACACATAGATAGTTTGTGTCCATAATGTATACACAGCATAATATTACAGAAGTGGAATGTATACAAATAGAGAATCTCACCGAGTGTCTTTTGATATCAAATATATCAATACGAGTTGATAAAAGTGTAAAAATTCCGAGGCTTGCCGAGGATTTTTGCCACTTTTATCAACGAGTGTTTATATATTTAATATCAAAAGACACGAGGGTGAGATTTTATTTATCATTCTTTCAACTTTTTCAATTTGTAGACAGTAATTAGCAGTGTCTTCAGTGTAAAAAGTACTGCAAACAGCTTCAGTAGCAGAGCCATTTGTGATGTCATTTGATTGTGACGTCTTGGTAACCAGTGACGTCACAATGGTCTGCAAAGCATTGTGATGTAATTTCATTGCAGCGATATCTACAGTGTAGATATATAGAATACTAAACGAGCTCCCGTGTAATACCAATTTTATGAAACGAGTGAATAGTTGTGGTATCTGACGAGCGAAAGCGAGTCAGATACCACAACTATTCACTCGTTTCATAAAATTGGTTTTCCACGGGAGCGAGTTTAGTAATCTATTTATTACTTGCAATTTATAACGTTTTTTGAATTATACTGTTGAGTACGAATAGGCTGACACCTACATGATCCACGACATGAGTTTATCAGAATAATACTTCAAACACGTCAAAAGTTGAAACGTATGAATTTAATACCATACAACGGGTCTACCTTTAGAATTCACAAAGTTATCGTAGGGCTAAGACTTTCGCATCTCACATACTTTAACTAAGACCAACGACTGTCGTTGCGCTACAATACGATCGCCTTGTGGAACGGGCCTTGCACCTCAAAGTTTTCAATAACGTCACAATACCCGATGACGTAATTTGTGGAATTTTGATGCAAGATCCATCGGCGAAACAATGCCATGTGACGTCAGCCTAGCAACAAGGTTGCTGGGGTCATCGAGTGTGCATAAGCTCCTCTCAGTGATCTATCAACTCCACACGCAATGTCGTTGAATAAGCCAAGGGATGTTGAGAGCTTTCAATATTTGTTCGTGAAATGTGTTCCGAGAGTACATAAGCACGCGTTTTGGTATTACACAATGTGTAATAAAGCTGTATGTTTATTAAACGGGTGATCTCTTCACGGGCAAGTAATAAATCGCTCGATCTCATCCAAGCGATATCTCCTGTGGGAGCCAGTTTTGGATGATAAACAGTTTTAATTGTTTCACGAAATCTCCTGGCGTGCCAAGGTACTTTGTTTAGCAATAACGGGAACTAAGATCTGATTTTAATGAGATTGGCCAATGTACCTGCATCTTTGACCTGTGTGAAATTAATGTTAATGCATACTACCTCCTGTGCTTCCTTCTCATACTTCTGAATGGCCCTTTTGTCAATCCCTCCACACTTGTAGATGAGATGACCAGTGGTCGTGGACTTCCCCGAGTCCACATGGCCGATCACAACGATACTGATGTGAATCTTTTCCTTTGCCATTGTGTCTTTTCTGCAAGAGAGTTCCCATTTAGGTCACGTCATAACGTACCATGGTTATTACACATGTTGACAGGTCAGGTTATTCTAAACATAGAACTGAATTAAGAACTGCCGCATCATTAAAATGCGTCAAGGCTTCAATGAACAGAATGTTTGTCTATTTGAATGTCTTCGTCAGTGTTTGGTAGTGATTTTCTTATCAGAAGCGTATATGATATTAAAGGGGAAGTGTACACGCAAAAATCACTTTCTTTCTTTTTCTAAACAAAACGCAATTTTAGAATTAATTAGTATCTGTGTTTGAAAATATACACTCATTTTTTTCACAGTGAAAGTAGGAAGCTCACAATAGTGTGAAAATGATATGCCGTTATGAGGCCTTCGTTTTTCGAGCTAAACAGGCCTGAGTTATCCCCCTTAGATTATGACGTAATTGGTGCCAATTCAACTGGATCCCTGTCTATTCTCAACGCAAAAGATATCAAGTACCAGTTTGCGGTAAAACAACATGGCCTTCGACACACTCCGGCGCAGTGGTGACTCAGCATAACACTATGCTGGCTGGCATCTGAGACGCTAGAATCACACACCTGTACCTACACCACGTGAAGCGGCTCTAACATAGCATGATGACGTCATAATGTTTATCAATTAGCACCAATGACGTCATATTGCAAGGGGCATAAGCCATGGTGTTTTTGTTGTGGAAATAGAACACTTGGTAAATGTGAAAAATATAAATCGTTTTAATGCGAAAAAAATGTTAATTAATTGTGATATTTTTATATTTATGTCTATGACACTTCTAGGTTAACACTTTTAATGTGGAAAAAGTACAAGAAAAAAAGGTTAATTTCCGTGTGAACTTGCCCTTTAAGCAACGATATAGCGTAATTGCCCAACTTACCACAATAATATCCAAAACATACGTATGAAATAAACGACGAGTGGAAGTGGGTGCAGCCCGAGTGGTATATTCCCCCTGCAGTGTTTTATTGCAAGACGAACAAGGCCACGAGTCGTTTATTTCTTATATGATATATCAACATCTTTAATGTTTGTTTGTTCGTTGTTTACGCCGCACTCAGCAATATTCCAGCTATATGACGACGGTCTGTAAATAATCGAGTGAGTCTGGACCATACAATCCAGTGATTGACATCTTGAGCATCGATCCACGCAATTGGGATCGATGACATGCATAAACCAAGTCAGCGAGACGGACCACCCGATCCCGTTAGTCGCCTCTTACGACAAGCATAGTCGCCTTTTACGGCAAGCATGGGTTGCTGAAGATCTATTCTACCTGGATCTACACGGGTCACATCTTTAATTATGTTCATAAAATATACAAGTTTATAACTATTTACCCGTATCTGAATACTCTCTGAATACAATCCGTCGGCAATGTCGGACAAGTCCATTTTGTGAACAGGAGGTTAAGTTTGGTATTTCCTGAATACACACTCACAACAAACACCAACACAATTGACGGCCATTTATCTGTACCTTTCCCCCCACTGCAGGTTGCCAAATCTCCTCCACTTTTGGATGCGCGATAGTTCGGCTATTGCGTTTATCTACGTTGTGCCAAGCTACATCAAAGAGGAACAACTCACTACCCTCACAAATAGCGTCGTACAATTTACGTCATCTAGTTTCGAGCGTATGTTCGAATCTTCAGAAATGACGCCGCGATAGAACAATGTTTTATATATAGAATGCTAAACAAGCTCCCGTGTAATACCAATTTTATGAAACTCGTGAATAGTTGTGGTATCTGACGAGCGAAAGCGAGTCAGATACCACAACTATTCACTCGTTTCATAAAATTGGTTTTACACGGGAGCGAGTTTAATATTTTATTTATTACTTGCCATTTATAACGTTTTTAGAATTATACTGTTGAGTATGAATAGGCTGACACCTACGATCCACGGCATAGTCCAATTGAGTTTAACAGAATTATACTTCAAACACGTCAAAAGGTGAAACGTATGAATTTAATACCATTCTACGGTCCACCTTTAGAATTCACAAAATTATCGTAGGGCTAGGACTATCGCAACTCACATACTCTAACTTAGACTAACGACTGTCGTTTCGCAACAATACGATCGCCTTGTGGAACGGGTCTTGCACCTCAAAGCACAGGGCCGCGGATAGCCATACTATACTGACTGTACTGATTACATTAAAAAAATGTTTAATGTAATCAGTACAGTCAGTATAGTATGGCTATCCGTGGCCCTGTGCCTCAAAGTTTACAATAACGTCACAATTCCCGATGACGTAATTTGTGGAATTTTGTTGCAAGATCCATCGGCGAAACAATGCAATGTGGCGTCAGCCTAGCAACAAGGTTGCTGGGGTCATCGAGTGTACATAAGCTCCTCTCAGTGATCTATCAACAATATTTGTTCGTGTGACGTGTTCCGAGAGTACATAAGCACGCGTTTTGGTATAACACAATGTGTAATACAGCTGCATGTTTATTAAACGGGTGATCTCTTCACGGGCAAGTAATAAAGTGAAATACACCACGCCTTGCTCTTCATTGTTATGTGCGAGTTACAGTGTAGATATCTCATATTTAGAATTAAGTAAGCTTGGAAACATATGGTGGCCCATAAGGGACATGGAGTCTGTTTTTCAATATTATTATATTTCACTTACTTTTATAGTAACCTTACATTATTGCAATTTAAAACAATTTTCATACAAATATGTGATAAACCATGTATAAAAACAACCGAAAACATGGAAAATGTACTTTCAAGTAGCTATTAAATCGCTGAAATTTCGAGCGAAAATGTCAAAAACTAAAATGGAAATTTCAAAAACAAAAACGAAAATTAAAATACAGAAAACTATTTCCACCGCGGTGATAATATTCCCAACTCGGTTGAAATATTATCACCGCGGTGAGAATACTTTTCACGGCGGTGGAAATAGTTTTCTGTATTTTCATTTTAGTTTTTGACATTTTCGCTTTTGTTTTTGACATTTTCGTTTTTGTTTTTGACATTTACATTTTGGTTTTTGACTTTTTCGTTTTTGTTTTTGACATTTTCATTTCAGTTATTGGCTTCACTTTTCAGCGATTCAATATCTACTTTATACACGATACATCACATATTTGTATGACAAATCGTGTTAATTTGCAAAAGGTTACGATAACAGTAAGTGAAATATCAAAATATTGAAAAACAGACTCCATGTCCCTTATGGGTCACCGTAGAAACAGGACTAAGTATATTCAGGATAATCCTTTTTTCAATTTTACCCACAACTGTCATCTGTATCCGAATAACAACTTTATAGGTCTGTCACCGTCAGTATGACACAGAGTCACATAACGACGTTTGTTTATCTGCTCCGTCTGCGGAACACTACGGCTTTCTTCCTATGGTCACGTATTCAGAGCGTGTCCTTATAATTGGATGTTTCTGCTTAAAGAAACATAGGAAAATGACAATGCAAAGAATTTGTATGGGGTAAGTGATGCGGAGAGGAGCTGTTCAGCAAGTATGTCAGTGCAAGGACGTTATGAAAGCAGATTCTATGTCTCGAAGGAGGCTTAAGTCAAGCGAGAGTTATATATTATGAAAATGGTATTTGTGTAAGCTTACTTTTTAAATCCTTGCATTTTTCAAACATCATGAAGAACATGCGACTTGCTAACTTTGATAAAACACTCCATACTAGTCAAGACTTATATTCCTGGATAGTGTAGAGTATAGAGTTTCGGAAATATTTTCGAACCATCTGTCAGTTTGCACTTTGCTGAGGATGCTGTAGCGTCCCTATCGTTTCTTCAGACTATATCAGCCCAGCACTTTCAAACCCTGCTACCATAAAGCCGCTTCACACTGTGCTGACTAAACATCTTACAGGGATAATTACTTTCTTTTTTAAAAGCCAAACCAGTTTGGACCTATCGACACTTGCAAAATGAGAATGTGTGCAGTGTTCTCTACAATCGATGATTTGTACATATACTTTGTTTGGTTTGTCCACCTCTGAAAACCTCTGAAACTTCAGAGTTGGTCCTTCATTGTCAATCTCAGTTAACAAACTACTATGTTAAAAACATACTCACCACTTAAACAAAACAAAAATGTTATGCTATTTTCGACCCATCCATAAGAAAATGTCCTCACATTCCTACAAGTTCTGTCATGAAACGTACAAGTAATAGTGACCTTGCATTGGTAGCCTACATATATACCCGTCTGTTCAATGTGAGTTGTAAACACACTAATACGTTGAAGGTTTTCTATAAACACTAAAAAACTACTCACATAAAACACCGAGCGATGACAACGCAGAAATCAGCTTGATCGTCTTGACTGTCTGGCAGTCAGATGAACAGGTGTTTGATACATCACGAGATCACGTGATATTGAGCTCTTACATGACACACATACATCAACAAACCAGTGAATCTGCTGCAAGGTGCACAGTGTTCTTGTTTCAACTTGTGTCATAATCGCAATGGTATTACTCGATCTGGTGGTTTGAAGCAAAGCAACATTAGACATGTGTCCAGTTATCATGTCTGAAGAAGCTTCAGAAAATGAAATGGGGAAATTAAATGCCTTAAATGCAAAACAGGTGACAAATATGGTGATGCTTTCTACCCGTATTGCCATAGATACGTATGCTTTAATTTGGGATGTATTCTACCCTGAATGTCTACAGGGATACAAGCATGGATTTATAGGGATGTATTCAACCCGCAATGTCTACAGGGAAACAGGGAGGGTTCAATATGGGTGTATTCAACCCTGAATGTCTATAGGGAGACACGCATTGTGTTATAGGGATGTATTCAACCCTGAATGTCTATAGGGAGAAACGCATTGTGTTATAGGGATGTATTCAACCCTGAATGTCTACAGGGAGACACGCATTGTGTGATAGGGATGTATGCAACCCTGAATGTCTATAGGGAGACACGCATTGTGTTATAGGGATGTATTCAACCCTGAATGTCTATAGGGAGACACGCATTGTGTTATAGGGATGTATTCAACCCTGAATGTCTATAGGGAGACACGCATTGTGTTATAGGGATGTATTCAACCCTGAATGTCTACAGGGAGACACGCATTGTGTTATAGGGATGTATGCAACCCTGAATGTCTATAGGGAGACACGCATTGTGTTATAGGGATGTATTCAACCCTGAATGTCTATAGGGAGACACGCATTGTGTTATAGGGATGTATTCAACCCTGAATGTCTACAGGGAGACAAGCATTGTGTTTGTAGGCATGTATTCAACCCTGCATGTCTGCAGGGAGACAAACATGATTTCATAGGGATGTATTCAACCCTGAATGTCTGCAGAGAGACAAGTGTGGTTCAATATGGGTGTATTCCACCCGGAATGCCTACAGGGAAACAAGGATGGTTTTATAGGGATGTATTCTACCCGGAATGTCCACAGGAAGACAAGCATGGTTTTATAGGGATGTATTCTACCCGGAATGTCTAAAGGGGGACAATAATGGTTTTATAAGGATGTATTCTACCCGGAATGTCTACAGGAGACAAACGTGGTTTTATAAGGATGTATTCTACCCGGAATGTCTACAGGGAGACAAACATGGTTCAATATGGGTGTATTCTACCCGGAATGCCTACAGGGAAACAAGGATGGTTTTATAGGGATGTATTCTACCCGGAATGTCTACAGGAAGACAAGCATGGTTTAATAGGGATGCATTCTACCCGGAACGTCTAGAGGGAGACAAGCAAGGTTCTAGATATAGGGATGTATTCTACCCAGAATGCCTGCAGGGAGATAAGCATGATTCAATATGGGTGTATTCTATCCGGAATGCCTCAAGGGAGACAAGCATGGTTCAATATGGATGTATTTTATCCCGAAATAGCTCCAGGGAGACTAGCATAGTTTCTGGGATGTATTCTACCCGGAATGTCTACAGGGAAACAAGCATGGTTCAATATGGGTGTATTCTACCCGGAATGTCTACAGGGAAACAAGGATGGTTTTATAGGGATGTATTCTACCCAGAATGCCTACAGGGAAACAGGGAGGGTTCAATATGGGTGTATTCAACCCCGAATGTCTATAGGGAGACACGCATTGTGTTATAGGGATGTATTCAACCCTGAATGTCTACAGGGAGACAAGCATTGTGTTTGTAGGCATGTATTCAACCCTGCATGTCTGCAGGGAGACAAACATGATTTCATAGGGATGTATTCAACCCTGAATGTCTGCAGAGAGACAAGTGTGGTTCAATATGGGTGTATTCCACCCGGAAAGCCTACAGGGAGACAAGGATGGTTTTATAGGGATGTATTCTACCCGGAATTTCTATAGGAAGACAAGCATGGTTTTATAGGGATGTATTCTACCCGGAATGTCTAAAGGGGGACAAAAATGGTTTTATAGGGATGTATTCTACCCGGAATGTCTACAGGAGACAAACGTGGTTTTATAAGGATGTATTCTACCCGGAATGTCTACAGGGAGACAAACATGGTTCAATATGGGTGTATTCTACCCGGAATGCCTACAGGGAAACAAGGATGGTTTTATAGGGATGTATTCTACCCGGAATGTCTACAGGAAGACAAGCATGGTTTAATAGGGATGCATTCTACCCGGAACGTCTAGAGGGAGACAAGCAAGGTTCTAGATATAGGGATGTATTCTACCCAGAATGCCTGCAGGGAGATAAGCATGCTTCAATATGGGTGTATTCTATCCGGAATGCCTCAAGGGAGACAAGCATGGTTCAATATGGATGTATTTTATCCCGAAATAGCTCCAGGGAGACTAGCATAGTTTCTGGGATGTATTCTACCCGGAATGTCTACAGGGAAACAAGCATGGTTCAATATGGGTGTATTCTACCCGGAATGTCTACAGGGAAACAAGGATGGTTTTATAGGGATGTATTCTACCCAGAATGCCTACAGGGAAACAGGGAGGGTTCAATATGGGTGTATTCAACCCCGAATGTCTATAGGGAGACACGCATTGTGTTGTAGGCATGTATTCAACCCTGAATGTCTACAGGGAGACAAACATGATTTTATAGGGATGTATTCAACCCTGAATGTCTGCAGAGAGACAAGTGTGGTTCAATATGGGTGTATTCCACCCGGAAAGCCTACAGGGAGACAAGGATGGTTTTATAGGGATGTATTCTACCCGGAATTTCTACAGGAAGACAAGCATGGTTTTATAGGGATGTATTCTACCCGGAATGTCTAAAGGGGGACAAAAATGGTTTTATAGGGATGTATTCTACCCGGAATGTCTACAGGAAGACAAGAATGGTTCAATATGGGTGTATTCTACCCGGAATGTCTACAGGGAGACAAACATGGTTTAATATGGATGTATTGTACCCGGAATGCCTACAGGGAGACAAGGATGGTTTTATAGGGATATATTCTACCCGGAAGGTCTACAGGGAGACAAGCATGGTTCAATATGGGTGTATTCTACCCGGAATGTCTACAGGGAGACAAGTGTGGTTTAATAGGGATGCATTCTACCCGGAACGTCTAGAGGGAGACAAGCAAGGTTCTAGATATAGGGATGTATTCTACCCAGAATGCCTGCAGGGAGATAAGCATGCTTCAATATGGGTGTATTCTACCCGGAATGCCTACAGGGAGACAAGCATGGTTCAATATGGATGTATTTTATCCCGAAATAGCTCCAGGGAGACAAGCATAGTTTCTGGGATGTATTCTACCCGGAATGTCTACAGGGAGAAAAGCATGGTTTAATAGGGATGCATTCTACCCGCATCGTCTGCAGGGAGACAAGCATGGTTCAATATGGGTGTATTCTACCCGGAATGTCTACAGGGAGACAAGTATGGTTCAATATGGGTGTATTCTACCCGGAATATCTACAGGGAGACAAGCATGGTTTTATAGGGAATTATTCTACCCCGAATGCCTACAGGGAGACACGCATGGTTCAATATGGGTGTATTGTACCCGGAATGCCTACAGGGAGACAAGCATGGTTCAATATGGATGAATTTTATCCCGAAATAGCTCCAAGGAGACAAGCATATGTTCTGGGATGTATTCTACCCGGAATGTGTACAGGGAGACAAGCATGGTTCAATATGGGTGTATTCTACCCGGAATGTCTACAGGCAGACAAGCATGGTTTATTATTGGTGTATTCTACCCGGAATGTCTACAGGGAGACAAGCATGGATCAATATGGGTGTATTCTACCCGGAATGTCTACAGGGAGACAAGGATGGTTTAATAGGGATGTATTCTACCCGGAACGTTTACAGGGAGACAAGCATGGTTCAATATGGGTGTATTGTACCCGGAATGCCTACAGGGAGACAAGCATGGTTCAATATGGATATATTTTATCCTGAAATAGCTCCAAGGAGACAAGCATAGTTTCTGGGATGTATTCTACCCGGAATGTGTACAGGGAGACAAGCATGGTTCAATATGGGTGTATTCTACCCGGAATGTCTACAGGGAGACAAGCATGGTTTAATATTGGTGTATTCTACCCGGAATGTCTACAGGGAGACAAGCATGGTTTAATATTGGTGAATTCTATCCGGAATGTCTACAGGAGACAAGCATGGTTCAATATGGGTGTATTGTACCCGGAATGCCTACAGGGAGACAAGCATGGTTCAATATTGGTGTATTCTACCCGGAATGTCTACAGGGAGACAAGCATGGTTCAATATGGGTGTATTCTACCCCGAATGCTGTTGTAAAAAATGTGAAAACATACATACCATACATGTGATACCATTAGGATATACCAGTTACCAAACATGTGATACCACTTGGAAATACCAGCTACCACCCATGTGATACCACTTGGATATACCAGCTACCGCTCATGTGATACCACTCGGATATACCAGCTACCATCCATGTGATACCACTAGAATATTCCAGCTACCACCCATGTGATACCACTTTGATATATCAGCTACCACCCATGTGATACCACTTGGATATACCAGCTACCACCCATGTGATACCACTTGGATATACCAGCTACCATCCATGTGATACCACTAGGATATTCCAGTTACCACCCATGTGATACCACTTTGATATACCAGCTACCACCCATGTGATACCACAAGGATATTCCAGCTACCACTCATGTTATACCACTTTGATATACCAGCTACCACCAATGTGATACCACTAGGGTATACCAACCACCACACAGCTATCATGGACTTGCATGTTTCTTCACATATGATATATTGCCTGGCCGTATCTTCTACTACGGTTGATACTGCCAACCTATTGTCAAAATATGTTAATTCCACGGAATGGAGATACTGCAAGGACGAAACAGTTACCACGCACGAGAAGATCACGTAGATCAACATCAGGACACACATCACTTGGACCGCCATCAGGGCACAGATCACCTTGACAACC